GCTGTGAGGACACACTGTTTTGTTGTTAATTACACACACATACAACGTACACACAGCGTCTAATGTGCAAATTACACGTATCATAGAAACATACCATTGGAGGAACACCCACATAACTTTTTATTTATTTTTTTAAAAAAATATATTTTTATTGATTTCAGAGAGGAAGGGAGAGGGAGAGAGAGCTAGAAACGTCAATGGTGAGAGAGAATCATTGATCAGCCTCTTGCATGCCCCACACTGGGGATCCAGCCCACAACCCGGGCCTGTGCCCTGACCGGGAATCGAACCGTGACCTCCTGGTTCGTAGGTCGATGCTCAGCCCCTGAGCCATGCCAGCCGGGCCCCACATACATTTTTAGAAGCGACATTCCCTCGTTTCTGTCCTCCACCACCAGGCCCCTCCCCAGGAGGAACCAGGACGGAGAGTTTGGTCTGAAGCTTCATGTGTCTTACGTGCTCACTTACACATGTGCCGTGTTGTGCTTACTGCCCACCATACCCGTGGGCGTCTCCTTTCCGCTTCCCATAAACCATGACTCCCCGCGGCAGGACACTGGGATTTGTGCCGGCTCGTTGCCGCCTGCACAGTCACCCGAATGTGAATGCCGTCCGTGGCTTAGTTTACCCTTTTCCTCTTCGACGTGCGCCTGCGCCTGTGGCGAGGCAGCGTGGCCGCCGTGTCTGTGGGCGCGTGGATTCCCAGGCGGGTGCAGGAGAGCCTAACACTTTCAACGATGAGGCTGAAGTGGGTCTTCTAAGAAAGCTGAGCCCGGCCGGCGTGGCTCGGTGGTTGAGCGTCGACCTGTGAACCAGGAGGTCACGGTTTGGTTCTGGTCAAGGGCACTTGCCCCAGTTGCAGGCTCCATCCCCAGTGTGGGGCGAGTAGGAGGCAGCTGATCCATGATTCCCTCTCATCATGGATGTCTCTCTCTCTCTCTCTCTCTCTCTCTCCCTCTCTCTCTCTCTCTCCACCTCTCCCTTCCTCTCTGACATCAATAAAAGTGTATATTTTTAAAAAGAAAGAAAGTTGAGCCATGGACACGACTCCTGTCAGGGCCGCGCCCCCTGACGCCCCCTCCTCCGCAGCGCTGGTGTCGCCCGTGGTTTTCGCTTTCATCTGTGTCTCGGGCTTGAGTATCTCGTTGGCTTCTGCGTCTTCCTTTCTTTAGCCACCAGGGAAGCCGGGCGCGTATTTCGCGCGTTTCCCGTGTGCTGTGTGTTTCCTGGTGGTTAAGTCCCTGTTCGGCCCAGGCCTGTCCCGCCGCCTGGGGCGCAGAAGGACTTTCCGCCGATGGATGCGGCTCTTCCTCCGGCACCCGGGCTGCAGGATGGGGCCAGCGGCCATTTTGGTGGCAACAGTTTATTTTTATGCCCTTTCGCTTTATAAGTCAAAAGCTTGTGTCATCAAACTTCTTTTTCTTTCTCTTGATGGCTCCTGGTTCTTTTAAAAATGTGTTTTTATTGATGAGGGGGTCGGGGACTTGATTGGGCTGTAACCCAGGCGTGTGCCCCGACTAACACTCAGACCGGTGACCTCAGCATGGACAGTGCTCACCCAGCGGAGCCGCACTGTCCAGGCCGTGGCTCCTGCTTTTCATGTCGTGCTGAGAACGGTCCTATCTACATAGAAATTATAAAATTTCCCCTGATGTTTTTTTCCTAGTGATTTTGTTCTTTTATTTTATTACACAAACATCTTAATTGCACCTGTATTTTTTTTTTTAGTATGGTATTTTAATGACTTATTTCAATCTCTTAAAATGATCTTTAGCCCTGGCTGGTTTGGCTCAGTGGATAGAGTGTCAGCCCACGGACTGAAGGATCCCGGGTTCGATTCCAGTCAAGGGCACGTACCTCGGACGCAGGCTCCATCCCGAGCCCTGGTCATGGCCGGGGTTGTGCAGGAGGAAACCAGTCCATGTTTCTCTCTTTCGGTCTCTCCCTCTCCCTTCCACTCTATCTAAAAACCAATAGAAAAATATCCTCGGGTGGGGATTAACAAAACAAAAATAAAAGCATCTTTAACATTTCTATTTATAATTTTTTTTTTCCTTCCGGAAGGAGACCCATTGCTTCAACACCATTTGAAAATTCTACACTTCCCCTCACGGGTTAGGACACGACCACATTACCGACTTTCCTTATAAATCTGGGTCCTTTTCTAGATTTTTCTCTTCTTTTCAATTAATTAGTTTATTCCTCAAATGGCACACCCCGTTTTAATCTCCGTAAATCTGTGGATCTGCCTATACTCTCGATATATGGAAGGACATTTTTTTTCTTTCTCAAACAATTCTGAGCTCTTCTCACTCATTTTTGAATAAGTCTGCCAGGTCTCCCACCCCAGGAAACCCCATGAGATTAAATTTCAGTGAATGTACGGATTGCTGGGGGCGGGGGGGGGCACCAGCATGATCATAATATTGTAATCATGACAGACCCCCTTCCCATGGGGCCTGGTATTAGGTTCAGTAAAATGTCTCCTCCAGGCCTCCGTCCCCGCATCTGCACAGAGAGGAGGTGGGAGTGGCAGTGAGGTGCCCCCCGGGCTCTACGGTGGAAAACACTGATAGCAGCGGGTATAGGGCCGGGCACCACAGCCCCACGCTGGGCGCCAGACACGGGGGGCGGGGGGCAGCT